TTAATATCTATACTTGTTAGTGCAGTATCATGAAGTACTTGAAAGTCACCGTAAGTAGAGTCGAATTAAGACGTGAGAATCTCTCAAGTGTTTTTTTCCATGAAGATTTTTGTATTAATGTAATGCCATTCCTGTGTAATATAGCCACGTAAGAATTTCTGTAATACTGCCCATGCTACTGCGTTCCTTTTCGGGATGGATCCTGGAACGGCCACTTTTGAGCAGGGTCTGATGCGAAATGCGGAGAAACTTGTGACTTGGTAGCCGCTTATGAATCATGCAACCGACACCATTTCCACTTGCATCAAGCCGCGTAGAAAACCTCTGAATCGTAAAACGAAGTGAAATAGCCGTGCACACAGCTAACACCCGTGCGGATCCAAAAAGGTCACCCGTGCACACAGCCAACACCCGTGTCCGAACTCCGTGCGCGCAGACAACACCCGTGCAAGCACCCGTGCAAGCACCCGTGCACGCAGCCAACACCCGTGTTTCCCCGTGCACGCAGCATCGACCAATAAATAAATGGAGATTGCTTACTAGTATTACCGATCAATTTAGAGGGCGAAACCGATTAAAACAATTCAGAGGCGGTATCATCAGAAGAATGTTAGTCGCAGCTATGACCTTTAGCGCCTTGTAGAAAAGGTATTGCGAACAGGAAATGGTTTGTACGCAAGTTAAATTAGAATCAAGCAATTATTCGCATCTTCGGCACTGTGGCACGTCAACGAAATCTCGATTACCCTTTCTTGTAAAAAATATAAAACCATAAAATATATATTACGCGCTTTTGGCAAAGCGCGTAAAACAGTTTAACGACCAGCAGAGTGCAATTGTTATAAATGGCTTATAAGCGAGGATTTAAACTGGATGGAATCCGGAAGATTAAATAATTAACCTAAAAGTAAATAGCGAAAGTAAAATAATTAACTTAAAATTCTCGAAAAACTTTCAGCTCTAGTGTCGGATAATGCTTACAGCTCGCCAGAGACAAGTAATGACATCAGAGTACATTTACACCCTGATTCTTACCGTAAAAGAGGTTGTAGCCATTGGCGGCGAAACCCGAAAAGGTCAACAGGAATTCCGTGATAGCAAGTGCCAGCAAACCGTTAGAATTTCCCGGCAGTTTTTCCATTTGACAATCGGGCTAAGCGGACTAACGTTTGGTCTAAACCAATCTAGTGTCGTTTGTACTGTCCGGTTTCAACGACTGGAAACGCGAGCGAATTGGTTTCAGAAATTCTTCAAAGGACGTTCTTGAACTGCAGGGCGAATGCTACAAACCTGTGCTCGATTGATCGCTTTCCTTAACACCAATCCGGTTTAAATACTCGAAAGATCAAGTGCAGTATAACGCATGCACGTTATATACCATTACGTCGAATAGTTATACCGTGTGTACAGCGAGCCAACCAGTAGATTTTGTGTTAAGCGACATCACGACTCTGGAACAAATCGATCATTCGCAATAATGGTAAACAACTGTTATGAAACTGCGCCGTAGCTGTTGTGATGTACAGTCTTCTGTCTACCTACGTCGACCTTTAATTTGAATCTAGAGCTAGTCATCGTCAAAATACGTATATCTATCTAGAGCTATATATCTATCTAGAAAATATATATATTTAGAGCTAGTCATCGCCCTTACACGTTATCCTGGGTTAACAAACATTAGCGGAAGCATTGCAACAGGACGACTGAAATGGGAAAGCAAAGATCATTTCCGCTTTTCCACCGGAGTGTTAGTTTATCGAAGTAATGCACCTGATTAGCGGCACATTTTGATGGCCTTGCGCATTTGATACTTCCGTCCGAGTGCAGGTAGGTGTTTTCAGATATTGTCAGAACATTTTTTGTGGTGTGATTGTTTGAAAGCTTCATAAAGACCTGGGTGAACTTGCGTAGATTGTATGAACAAGCACTTCCGAAAAGAAAAGCATAAGATTAAAACGGGGAAAATTAAACACATAATACGCGCAACGCACTTATAACGCCCAAAATATCTTATAGTACCGTACTGAAAGAAAAATCATTACAAACCATGTTACACGGAGATGTGGAGAACAATAACGATTCCCGAAAACCAATCCACTAATTAATTTTGCGGGCTAAATTGCGAATAAATGCTTTTACTGCCGAAAGCTAGAAATACACTAATCAATACTTAAATCTCAAGAAGGGCTACCCAGTATTTTGTAGTGTGTGGGATTTTTTTCATGGCGTACTCAGTGCGCGATGACCAGGGCGATTAACTGAAACACCGATAGAACAAAGGCTAATGAAATCATAATGCCTTCTTCGCGCAGAGCATTAAGCCATTGCGGTGACAGTTATTTAATACTTTTAATAATTATACCGGCCTTTATGGTATCGTTTTCAGGTTGCGAATCAATATGTCTTTACGCTAAATAGAATGGTGGGTTCATTAACATGAATGATACTAGAACATGACTGCATAACAATGCATAACAATAAACTCTATGTGGATTGCTCTCGCCTACTACTGATTTCAAAATAAAAAATTATTTTGTAGGAAGCTAATTGCTGGTGTTCCTGCGGCATATCGGCCAGTTGCATCGATTATCGGTCTCTCCTTACAAACTGTACGAGTATAGGCTCGGACCAGTACTTTTGTATTATAGATATAATGCACTTCGAATGGGAGCATGTTTTTTATTGGCTTCTGCTTCGTACCAACCAGCCGAATGGAACGTGTAGCCTGTAAAAACGTACTGTTGCTTACTTGTTAGTTCCTGTCGGTAAATTATAAGCTGTAATTATAAGCTGTATGTTCCGTTTTTATTGATTTTAGACCACCAGATACCGGCAGTCGGCGATGTGCGTAATTTTTCGCCAGTGTATTCACAACAAGGAAACGGAAGAGAAGGAATATGTATGAGGCGCTAATCTTTTACTAAAGTCTATAATAAAGATTGATAGATACTTCCTTTGAAGCCATTTGCAAACAATATAAACATGCGCTTCTCTGCTCGAACTCAGTGCTTGCTATGTGATGCGCACTGGCAGTGATCTTGCTCCACACTGTGTACTGATTAAATTTTTGAATTTTTAAACCGCGGTTGGACCGGCTGATTTGTATTTTTTTCATACCTCGTATTCTACGCCAACTGTGAAGTGGTTATTATCACAATCACACTGAAATTTCGTTACTTCTAATGCAATGTTTGCATTGAACCAATTATCAATACTAATATAGATATAGAAGTACTTCTATAGAAATTAAACGAACTTAAATACGGTACTCGTTCTATACATAAACCATTGCCATAAATTCTATGGATGAACAAACTTTTATTGAACACAGAACACACCAAAGAGGAAAAACCTGTATTACTGAATAAAAGTTGCTTATTTTCTTCACATGCAAGTGAAACATTCTACTGTTTGGTCTTCTTTACTCCTAACAACATTACTACTCTGTTACTTTAATCCGGCAGCAGGTACTCGATAACATTTGAAATTTGCAAACTTTACATACTTACACGAGACAGAGCTGACAACGGTTAAAATCATTTAAATACAAACTTAATAAATTTTGATAGAGAGTATGTACTTCATTCGAACAATGCAATCAGTGATTTTGTGAAATTCTACGGAAACTGATACATATCCAGGCGTCGATACAGAGTGCATGAACCTAGGCTTGTAAAAGAAAGATGTTTACCGAAGCCCACACTTAGGTATATTATTAATTCCTACAAGGCAAGATACGCCATGCTTTTGTGGAATATTAAAGGTGATGATTTCCGTAAAGATACGGTAGGGCAAATTTATCAGGGTAGCTAGGGATGCAAGTCGCACGAGGCCTCCAGTTTCACGATCCGGTTACAGTGAGCATCCAGCGTCTTGATTCAACGCCGTGGACTCCACTGCGACTTGTCGTTTTTTCTCCGTCCTTCATGTCGTTGTGCAGGTAGCAGCTGTATAAGGCGGTCAAGAATGCCACCGGCATACTAACGCCCGACACCACAATGAATTCCATCAATACTTTTTATCCGGGCAATAGCCAATTAACAGAACAACAAGCCTGCGCTGGTAGATACTAATTAAAAATTTCGAATTTAAAAATCCCATCATAACCAGATGTCCACAAATGTCGGCCTAGAAAAAAACGTGAGAGACGGCGCCCCAGGCGCCCATTTTAGCGTAGAACACCTTGGCACGGTTAGCAAATTTGACGATCCCGGACGAGCCAAGATGCAAGAAAGATAAAGGAAGCAATAAACAAGAAAACGGACACCGCTCCTATGCGGATATGCACAAAAAACGGTAGGATCATGCTTTCCACGAGCTACAAGCATGCAGGCCACGATGAGACAGCCTCCGTTCACCAGCTGCAGTCCATACAGTGCGATGGAAATGATGAACGCCACAAACTGGAAGATGGAAAACTCTCCACCCTGAATCAGCGCTCCTAATAATTTTCACATACATTCGGTGATAATTACAACAGGTATTGCGTTTAATTCGTGGCATGTAACAAGTGATTACTATTGCTACTAACGCTGTTTCATGTCTTGTTCGCCTGTTACATGTGTACCAGGTGCCATGGCGTTTCAATAGGTTGTTCTGGCGAAGGAGCTTGAGCGTAGTCCGCCCCAAAACCAGACTGGCTCTCTACTTTATCGCTTCCAGAGTTATAATTGTATTCCTAGTTCCAGTTCGCATAAGACTCAAGCAAAAAGGTAAACATATTTTGGTCACACCGACTCACACGTGGAATAGGCCAAAACCAAACCTTGGTCGCTCATATGAGATTACGGAAGTGCAGGGAAAACTTCGGGACCTTTCTTGAAATACAGAGCACCATAACAAGCCCGTATTATTGACTATAGACCATAATATTTGCCGAAGTGGCTATGCTATGGCAATATTAATTAACATATTTGCCTAGTGCGAGGTAAAGCATAACGAAGCATCTTCGCATACAAGTTTTCTTAAATGGACACATAAACAAGATCGTTAAACAAAAACGACAATATACGAGCATCTGAAAGCCGTTATATAAAGGTTATACACACCTTAGCATAATAAAACACACCACTATGTTAACAGTGCCATAATGAATTGTTTGGTTTACATTTTATAAAGCGATTCGACAGGACAGCGTTAATAACGGTAAACATTTAAAACGCTTTATAAAACTAGCCTATACTCATGCGCATCGCGCAAATCCATGCTCTCGTGCGCCCGTCATCTTGATTAAATGGCGTCGGGCAGAGTGCAGATTGTAGAGAAAAAGTCTTGACCTCGGGTTATAATTAGGACGTCCTTGTACGGTGCCGGTGTTACATTCTCCGATTCCGACGAGCCAAAAAGCACTTCCTGATTTCTGACACATTCAAGTTCGTGGTAAACAACAGCACTACGCCAGCCCATAGACATTGCCACAACTATAGCGCTGACTAGTAGAGCAATTGTTCCCAGCAAGACCAGCTGTCCGGCGAGGTCGACCTGGAACACGTGATGGATGGAACCCCATACGCCCAGTGACTTTACGAATGGCTCGGCGCGGAACGTGAACTGGGCGAGTCCGCTACCGATCAGTATCACGAGGTAGAATATGCAGCATACGACCAAGCAGGTGCAGCGTCCATCATGACCTTTTCCGAAGTCTGCCGGGTCTTGGTTGCCGCGAAAAACGCGTATACAACATACGGTGAGACAGCAGCCGTTAACCAATTGGAAACCGTACACTGGAATGGACAGGATGAACGCCAGGAACTGGGCGATAGGGAAACTGTTGACCACAAACAGCGCTCCTGAAAAAGGCGCAAAATCAGCTGCAATATATCGCGATCTTCTGAAGAAATGAGAAATCAGTGAGTAGGAGCTACTGCTAGGATCACTTGATAGCTTTGCACGATACCGTGGTAGCGGCGCTGTCGATCAATACAAGCCGTTACATATGTAAAGGGTAAGGTATGTTTTCGATCAAGCGATGGAAATCATTGCGCTGTGCACATACAGTACAGTGTGGTTACAGGAAAAGAGTAAAGGCAGTGCTATATTATTTGCGCTTACACCTTGAGTCTGTGAGTGGATTTTGATTAGCGCTTTAGGTTAATCGAACAGTCGACTACAACTTCGCCATCCCTTTTTTTGTATCGCATCTTTTATATTTTTATTTTGCAAAGCTAATGCAAATCACATTAAATGAAATTACAACCAAAATCTGAAGGCATTCGGAATTGCTAAAGACTGGAGAAACCAGTACTTCTTTCGGGACTACGGTAATTCAAAATTAAGTGTCGTCTTTTTTGCGCCTAAAACATTTCATTAATAAAAAATATAGTCAGTTTATTACTCGCTTCTTACCATAAAACAGGGAGTAGAGATTTGCGGAAAATCCCAGAACAGCCAACAGAATTTCCACGATGGAAAGAACAAAAAGAGTGCACCTATCTGTCACAAAACATCTTCGCAGTTCTAGCATTGTGAAACTGGCTATAAAGCAATCACCAGCTTGGCGCAAAATGAAGCACGGCGGTAACCGTCTTGTTCAAGAAAAATTATTTTCCGGCGATACTGACTGGTGAATGAGATGTATTTACAGGTCCTTCGAGAATGATTTGTTCTCTTCGTCACCAGTCGAGGCTGTATTGAAGATGTTCGGGTCTCGACAGTCAATAATCCGCAGTATCGCTGATGACGTTAATGGAATACATACTGCATCCGGCATGCATCTGTACAGTACTTGATCCTGTACAGCTACCTTTTTTTAGTTATCCACTGCCAGAGGATAAAACAGCTGGCCAGGGACGTGTACGGTACGTATATTGCCTACCATGGACTAGACTTAGAGTATTTCTTGCCATCAGTAAGGCCTGCAACTGTCACTGCAACACTACCGGAAGCGTTCAAATGTGTACGAACGTGAAAGGTTGTTACCGTCTCCAGCAGGTAGCATCCCAAATCAGCTTTACCATCACCGGCATCACGTACAAGGAAAAGGGCTCTTGCATCCGTACGTTTGTTGTCTTTGCGGTACAGACCAGCGTGGTTTCCATTTGATAAGGATATCCCGCTAGTTGCAACGCTCACTCCGCTTAAACGTTTTCAGTAATAGTGGTATCTGGATCATACGCCTTCGTTGCTGGAGCAGTATAGGCTGTCACTGGCTGTGATAACTGTTCATGGACATGAGCGTCATTTGCGCAGCTGTACAGCATAAACACGGAAAAGATTATTCAATCAGTTTCACTAATCAACGTTCAGAGTATACTGAATAACCAGAGTAGTAATGGCCAATCCAAGAAAATATATATCGTAAATTAAGTTTGCTTGTGACGCGATAAAGCGTAAACATTCGCGCAGAATACGAAGGAATGATACAAATTGTTGTACCTTTTTACGATACCTTTTTAGCCAGGAAGTATGATGCTGATAGGTAGAGCGGTTTCCATATTATGTTAATACTGGAAAACAGCAAAAACCGCTTTGAAATGCTTGATGAAACGTTAGGCATTTTTGATTGCGTATAATTTATGTGTCAGTGGCGTTGTCGATCAGTAACAGAAGTATCTGTAAAGGGTAAAGCCCGTAAAGGCAAAAAACATGTATCATAGTATTTTTAGGGTACCCTGCATACCATAACAGAGAAGAAGTACTGTAATATCAGGAGTGCAGTAGCCTTCAGCAATATTAAGTAGGCGCGTTATGAATGTGTTATGTACGGTACAGGCTCAGTACAGCAGGTAGTACTGTGGTATTTAATAGTTTTCCTGTTTTCTTCTTGTAGGTTGTGCATGTACTTTATGGGTTGGATCGCTCTTTAAACCGAAGTTGCCACACTAGTTAAAGAAAGTGAAAAAGCGTTTTTTTCCAGTTAACAGGCTACCAAATGAAGTTATACTTGATGAAATGTAGTCATTATAGGCACCGATCTGCATTTCTTGCAAACTTGCAGTTGAATAGCGATGGCGACACAGGGGTCACAGGCGAATATATGCACTGGATATTCAACTAAAAGTTAATGTTAACTTGTAAGAAAATTTTCACGTACGTTACTGGAAATGGCTGTTACAACTGTAACGTGCAGCTATTAATGGCCCAATTTTTTATGTGCACTCCTACACAAAAACTTTAATCAGTTGAAAGGTCATCAAACAAGAGCAAGGGAACGAAAAAGAATGATCTTAGGACAGTCAAATGTTTCGTAAAAGAGAAAATACGAGACCGTACGTATGAGAACTGGACAACGCATACTACCCGAGTAGCCATCAAATACACAAGTAGATGTTTTGGTTCTACCATCAATGAAACGCCCATTTACATAATTTATGATTGCAGTGTGCGCGTGACGCCTAACAACTTTGATCGGTTATTTATATAATATCGTATGGAAAAAGTATTTATGGTGCCATTAGAGAGAAAAGACGTGCTCATAAAGCTGTTACATATTATAAAGGCATTCGCGCGACGCATTCTTATTGCAGCACATTACTAGTGCACCGGAATATCCCTAGGTAGTACAGAAAACATATTTTTAGTGTACAATTTGCGCAAGGTCGTGGAATGGGGCAGCGTAAACATATGTACTTATGAAACGACTCAAAAAAAGTAAGGCGAAGACGTAATTGACTGTGCATTCCGCGGACATCCAGGTTTTTCTGAAAAGCCTTTCGACTGGACAACAGACATATTTTAGAGCTGCACAATCCTGTTCGTCGGATAGACATCATTGAACGGTGGCGACGGTGAATTTTGTGATTCCAAGTGCGACAGCAACGCTGCCTCGTTTTTGGCACCTGCAAGCACGTGATAAATATCTGCACTCCACCAGCCAATGACCTCTGCCACGATCACTGTGACAGTTAGTATCACAATCGATCCCAGCATGACGAGCTGTCCGGTGAGTTGGGCGTGGAACACGTGATGGATGTCACCCGACACACCCAGTGAGGGGACAAAAGGGTGAACGCGATATCCGAACATGATGAATCCGGCGAGGACGAAGGTCAGCAGGTACACACCACTCCATGCGCACAATATTCTTCTGCGGATTTGGATAACAGAATGCGCGCCGAAGTGCCCCAAGTCCCGATGGTGGGGCAAGATGCGTGCACAGCACATGATGAGAAGGATGCCGTTCGCCAACTGGACACGATGTGCAGCAGAAGTTGGAAGTAAGGAAATATTAATATGTTGAACATAAACAGCGCCCCTGAAGGATGTTCATTGTTCAATACAGCAGGTTCAAAATACAGCTATTTTTTGAAGGGATTTATGAAAGAGCTGCAACAGAGTATAACTGATTTCTTACCACTAAACACAGTGTAGAAATTTGTGGCAAATCTCACTACTGCCAGAACGACTTCCACTACGGAAAGAACCAATAAACTGCGCGTATCTTTCAAGAGATTCTGTAAATTCTGCATTATTCAAGTGGATTTCCTAACAAACACAAACGTGGCGCGAAGGGAGATACGGCGGTAACGATCTGCTGCAGAAATATTGTTTTCTGGGGATGTTGAACAAGATTGTACCGAAAATCTTTGAAGTTTTGATTGAACCAGTCGACGTTAAGCTAACTCTAATTTTATGATTGACAGCCAACCGGCAGTTCTACCAAGGCAGCAAGTACTTGCGAGTCGCGACGACCAGTAAATTACACTCAAATCTGGCAAGTAAAGCGAAAAGTAGCGATAATGGTACTATTTATACGTTTTACCTAATCGGCTTAGTGTATGCTGTATAAATAAACCGTGCTGCTTTGCTATTATGAGCCGTTTCAGATTAGCATCCCAAGGTTCAAATTGGTGTGTTGGGTTCGCTGTGTTGCGTCGGCGGATATGTTCGGACATAATTTTTGTATCGTCTTCATGACGGTTGGAGTTACCGTCAACTTACCCAGTTTATGGTAAAGCAAGCAAAGCGTTTTCGAAAATTCTTCAATTGTCACACAAACGGGTTCTTCAAGAGGAAAAGAGACCGTACGTGCGCCTGAGAGTTGCTATGGAAAGGCGAAACACATTTTAACGCAGCAAAGTGAAAAGCTATAATAGTACTATACAATTCGGTATCTAAATTCCGTAGGGCGAGAAATCTTCGGATAACCCCAAACTGGCACGCCAACGTGTTCTTCAAATAGAAAAAACTGTACGTGCACCTCAAATGTAAACTGTTTACAGCGAATCCCTGCTACCGGGAACCGGCTGTATTGACTAAATGGTATCCAGTAGAACGTAGTAAGTACATCGGGATCTCCAGTTAAACTTCCTTGTACGGTGGTGGTGGTGTTGAATTCTGTGGTTTTGATGAGACAAGAGGCACGGTCTCTTTTTCGGCACGTTTAAGTCCGTGGTAGACGGCAGCACCGCGCGAGCCAACAGACATGGCCAATGCTATAGCGCTGGGTAGCGCCACAACCGATCCCAGCAGGACCAGCTGTCCGGTGAGTTCGTCCTGGAACACCTGACGGATTGAACCCCACACGCCCAGTGACGGAACAAAGGGCTGGGCGCGAATGGCGAACTGGATAAATCCGGGAATGACCAGGAGCAGCAGGTATGATCCACAGCATCCGGCCAATATGATGCTGCGTCCACCATAATATTTCCCGAAGCGTGCCGGGTCGCGTTGGCCGCGCAAAACACGTGTGCAACATCCGGTGAGATAGCAGCCGTTTACCAACTGGAAACCGTACACTGGAATGGACACGATGAATGCCAGAAACTGGAGGAGAGGAAACAGGTTGACCACATAAAGCGCTCCTGAAAAATATGCAAATCAGCTTCCAGCCTTCCACTTCCATCTTTACAGCGCTATCGACGAAATTCAGTAAGAGTTGCTAGTGTCACTTTGTAGCTTTGCTTGCGATAGCTTACAATGTTAGTAACTTAGTATACGGTTGTTACTCATGTGAGAGCGGCGCTGTCGATCGATAACAGCCGTAACGGGTAAGGTATATCGGCGGTCAGGCTAACACATGCAGTCGATGATATCATCGCGCTTACAGTGCGTTACCAGTAAAAGAGTAGCGCCTAATCCTATGTCCTACGGTATATATATGTCTCCACATCTTACAGCCTGAGTCATGGAATGAAATTAGATTAGCGCTCTGGGTTAATCTGAACAGTCAAATAACCTTTCGTCACCGAATTTTGTATAATTATTACGATAGAAGTACTCCTCCTTCCCAAGTCAATGCAAACGACATTGCAGAAATCTAGAGAAACAATTCAGAAGCATAGCTATTTTTCAAGAGACCGGATAAACATAACCTACACAAATATTTCAATTGCATGTAGAGTCTTTGATCCGTTTAAATTTTTCTAGTAACAAAGAACCGCAACAGATTACCGGCATCCAACTCTTACCATAAAACAGAGTGTAAAAATTCGCGGAAAATCCTAGGACAGCCAACACGACTTGCATGATGGAAAGGGTCAGCAGAATGTTCGCCTCTTTCATAAGATTTTGTAATTTTTGCATTGTAAAGCTGGCTATAATCGCAATAATAAGGCTGGCACGAAATGAGGCACGGTGGTAACTGTCTGTATAGAAATCTTTATTTTCCGGTGAAGCTAAATAAGATACATTGATAGAATTGTCGGGAAATTCATGCTGTTCACCACCAGTCGATGCCGGATTGAAAAGCCTCGAGATTCAACAGTCATGATCATTTGGCAGTGTCCACCAAGGCGGTACTTATGATGTCATTGGAGGACGTACATACCGAATCTGGCTCTATAGTACTTACTGCAAGCACATGCATTTTGCTAACCATGAGTAAAGCGTGCATGTGTAACATGTTTTATATTTTAGCAGTTTTCATTACATATCGCAAAATTTTCAATGTTGGTGTAGTTGTAACCTGTACATGTTTCTCAAACATCTGAATTTTCGTCAACTCTAAGTCCCATCCAGCTGTGCTTATCAGTTCTATCAATAGACTCATATATCCTTACGTCCTTATTTTTTGGAAATTATCTCCTAAATCAACTTTGATTTTTTCAATAAGTTGTTAATTTTATAAAAAAGAGCATCACACAAACGTTCCTACCTTCATCTTTAAAAAAATGTTTTGGAGAAGGTCTTAAAAAAATTTTTCGAAGTTGTAGTACTTAAAGGTTGATAGTACTTCAACGTTGTTAGTTTTGGAAATTATCTCCTAATTCGAGATTCAGTTTGCGATACTTTTGATAGTTTTATAAAATCCAGCGTCTTCCAAAGCTTCCTACCTGTAGTTTGAAAAAAAATTTTTTTGTTTCCCGAAAGTTTCTAAAAACATTTCAACCTTTAGTACTTAGCGTTTTCAGTATATAGAAATTTCCAGTAAATTCAGGAAACGTCTCGAAAGAACAAATACACGTTTCCAGCTTAGCAACATAACCAAGAGCGATTTAAAATTGTCGATTACATCAAACTTATACGTAATTTTATTTTGTTTAATTCCTTGGAATGTTTAAAATGCTTTTAGTACCTCAAAATATGTAGCTATAAATTTTACCAAAGTCGGCTCCGGGAAGCCTTTACATTTCCAAAACCTTTAAATATTTCTAAATATTTCGACTCGGCCCCGCTGCTCGGGGCCGTTGCCTCTAATTCTTTGAGCCTCCAGAGATTCAACATTTTAAAAATATCTAGAAATTAGAATACCTCAATAGGTTACTGTCTGAAGTGTCTGTAAATCTAAATATCTAAAAGCCGGCCCCGTGGCCCGTTTACCGTATTCACTGACGTAGCGGCTCTGCGATACTGGTGGCAGTTTGTAAATTCATTAATCCGCGTCGCTCTGTGATACTGGTGGTAGCTAACAATAAGGTATTCACTATTATAGCTGGTTCTGCTGTTTTTTAAAGCATTTCACATTCGGCATTTCACATTTAAATTAAAATTTTTTTGATTTATTTTGTTCCTGTAACTACAAACCGCATATCAAAATTTTGTAATCTCTTTCATGTTAGATATTACTCCTTACCTCAAACTCAAGTGGTCGCACGCTAGCGCGACCGATGCTTGTAATAAATTATGCTCATATTATCATGCTAATACATAGTTCATGATAGTTGTACGTTACAATAGCAACTTCTAATTTCCACTACGAGTAGTGAAGTGTTACAAATCCGTATATGGGTAAAAGGTATGATGGCTCATCGGTAACGTTAATAAACTTAATTAATATTTTCAAAATTATTTATGCAACTACTGGATGGCTCGATCTCTGAACTGTACTCGTACACGAAACAATAATCAGCTAAAACGTCATCAGAGAAGAGTACGGGCAAGGGCATGAATACGAATGGTCTCACGACAACCAAACATTGTCCAAAGGTCTAGAAAAACCGTGTTAGAACTGGACAACAGGTACTACCTAGTTAGTATTAGCGCTATCACAGTGTTAGCTGTTAATTTGTAAGTATGTTAAGATATCTTGTAGCTTTTTAGCGTAAATCTGATGTTTATAGTCTCACAAGTTTCTGATTTGTACGGCTACAACATCTTCTAGATTACTGTAGGTGTTCTCGAAACTTGCGCAAAGGCACTTTGATCGTTTATTTATAGTCGGGTAGAAAAATTTTTATGTTGCAATTACAGTAAGCGAAAGAGAACCCTTGCATGACAGCCGTTATGTCGGCACCGAGACATATTCTTATTACACACTGAAAATACACCGGAAGCAGTGCGATAAATATATTTTTAGTGTACAATTTGCATAAGGTGATGGGAAAGGGAAACGTAAACCATACACTTGTTAAACGACTCATGAGACGTTAGACGGAGTTGCTTGACTGCTTATTCCGCGCGAATCCATGTTTCTGGAACCGGCTACACTAGACAAAGGACATCCGGTAGGGTACCAAAATCGCCACCTGATTAGACTTGCGTCACTTCCGTGTACCGTCGCGATGATCGATTCTGCAGTTCCGAGTTCGAAAGCAGGGCTGGCTCGTTTTTGGCGCGCTCCAGCTCGTGATAAACATCAGCACTCCACCAGCCAATAACCTTTGCCACGATCAAAGTGACAGTTAGTATCACAATCGATCCCAGCAGGACGAGATGTCCGGTCAGTTGGGCGTGGTACACGTGATGGATGGCACCCGACACACCCAGTGTGGCGACAAAAGGCTGGACACGGTATCCGAAGATGATGAATCCGGCAAGGAGGGTGATTAGGAGAAAAATACCACCGCATCTGCACAAGATGCCTCTGCGGATATTGATGACAGCATGTTCCCCGAACTGCGCCAGGTCATGGTATTGGCACAAGATGCGTATACAGCACACGATGAGAATGCTGCCGTTCACCAAATGGAAGCCATACACTGCGATTGACAGGGTGTATTGGAAGTAAGGGAATCCTTTGTTCTTCATAAACAGCGCCCCTAAAGGACGATCCGTGTCATTCCGCAATACGGCAGGTTCAAGATACTGTTATTTTTTAATGAAATAATGAAAGAACCGTATCAGAGTACTGTACCTATAGCTGATGTCTTACCATAAAACACAGTGTAGAAATTTGTGGCAAATCCCGCCACTGCTAAAACGACTTGCACGATGGAAAGAACCAGCAAACAGCGCGTATTTTTCACAAGATTCTCTAAATTCGGCATCGTTCAAGTGGATTTAATAGCAAACACAAACGTGGCGCAAAGTGAGGCACGGCGGTAACGGCTGCAGAAATACTGCGTTCCAGGGATGTTGAATAAGAGTGTACCAACAGCGCTACAGAAAAGGGTTGACGTTTTGATTACCAGTCAACGCTGTGCTAATCTTTTGATCGACATTCGACTGCAGTTTTACCAAGGCGGTTAGCAGTTGCGAGTCGCGACGGTGGCCAGTAAACACCCGCGAATCTGGCATGTACAGAGTACAGCGAGAAGTAGCGATAATGATACTATTTATACACATACGTGTTACCTCAACCGGTGTATGTAGTTTAGTGGTCAAGTGATCGTGTACGCTGTACAAGTAAACCATGCTGCCCTGCAGTTAACAGCGAGCAATACAATACACCGGAATATTAACAATGTATATTTTTAGAATTAAATGTATAATTTTTTAATGTATAATTTCCAATTTTCCAGTGGTTGATAGGGCTGGACAGCGTAAAGGTTAGACGTCTGAAACGCTTTATGAAAAGTTAGGCGCATTGGCGCAGCTGGCTGTGTGTTCTGTTAGAATCCATGCTTTCAGGAACCGGTCATACTGAATAGAGTAATAATAGACCTCCTGTAGAGGACCCAAAGCTTGATCTCCACGTCTACCTCCTGGTACAATGGCGGCGCTGGACTCCGCCTTTTGGGGCTGGACAGGAAGCGCTGTTTCGCTTGTGACACGTTCCAGTCCGTAGTAAACATCATCACTGCGCCAGCCAATGAACACTACCACGAATGTAGCGGCGCCTAAGACCGCAATTGACCCCACCATGACTAGCAGCCCGGTGAATTCGTCCTGCCATCCGGGATTACCACCTGCCTGATCATCCAGTAATGAGACTGAGGTCTGGTCGCGGAACGCATACTCGACTTGATTGGTAATTAGCAGCACCATTAGGCGTAATCTACAACATCCGCCCAAGACAATGCTGCGGGTACCCTGCGATCTGCTGAAGCGTTCCGGGTCTTGCAATTTTTCCAGGGCAGCGTAAAGCGTATACGGTATTTGTTAAATTGTAAAAGCGTGAATTTGTGAAATTTAAGGATCATTAACGAGTGATGTGAATCCATTCCTGCAGGTCGCCTTGAACGTCTTCCTCCTAAATCGTGATGTCCATTTTGCCATTATACGGCGGTGGTGGTCCGTTTCGTGCTGGCGATCGCCCCAACAGGTTTTTCTCTTCTTTGGTAGACTTTAGATCCTCACAGGCGGCCATGCTGTGCCCGATTACAAACATTATCACGACCATACTGGCAGCCAACAGCAGAACGGATCCCAGCATGGCCAGATGTCCGGTGACGTCTGCCTGGAACACATGGCGGACGGCGCCTCACACACCCAGTGAGGCGACGAATGAATCAGCGCCAAAGGCGACCTCGAAGAACCATGCACCAATCATCAGCAGCAGGTACAAGCCCCAGCCAACGAACGCGCCTCAAGTTGCATCCCTGCAAACGTGTCCCGAAAGCTGTTGACCGTCATTGACCACGAAATACTCGCACGCAGGCCACCATCAGCCAGCCGCCGCATACCAATTGCAGCCCGTATACCGGGGTGACAAAGACAAAAGCCACCGTTTGCAGTGTCGGAAAACTGTTGCCCGCATTCAAAAGCCCTAAAAAAACGCACAATAAGTTTTCGGCTGTTAATAATGTTTTAAGAAGATAAGTTAGTTGGTGTGATTCTGCATTTTTGGGGTATATTTTGAATAATGTGACCAAATAATAACCGCCGTTATATTTTGTCAACAAATTTCCGGGTCCTATATAGTAATCCATACCACTACAGTGCACTATTAGCTTTGTAAATGTCGCCATTACTAATTTTTCTTCGAATGATCAAATTTTCGCCTGCATCAGCATGATTTTTGCTTTCAACAAGGAGCTACTTATTTTCTAATACAGCAACGCATACAACTATTAAGCACCCAAACGCTGCGAAGCTGATAACCGTACTGTAATAATTATGC